ATATTTGATGATGATACGAGAAATCCCGGCAGCACTCTAGATAACCTTAGTTGTATAACAGTTCTCAAAAAGGGGTCATCCACATCACGCAGAAAAAGGAAACGATTGACAAGTTGTCTTATGTACAAATGAACTAATCCGAGTCCACCATCTCTAACTTTTCTGAAAAGGTTTGTGCGGCTTGATCTTTCCCATACAGAGCTCCATATGAAAATTGCAAATACTCTGTGTATTTTCTGTACACTTATTCTACTGCAGTGCAAAACCTGCATTACGTACCACAGCTTGCTCACCAGAAACAAGTTGCATGTTGTGGCCCGTGCGAATATCGAAAAACCCCAACCTTTCCATTTTTCTACATCATTGCGCAATGCCTGTGTTTCTTTTTTCCAATACGGTTCACTGTCATGATAGAACTCCAGCGGCACTCCTAAATACTTCACTGGTGTTTCCTGCCATTTAATGTTTAGAAATACTCTTGGCGTGACGTCCCATTCCCCATGCCAGAAGCCAAGGCACTTATCCCAGTTCACGGCACTACCACTCGCCTGGCAAAAAGTTTTCACGGCATTTACAGCATGCATTATACTCTCATAATTTGTACAGAAAACTGCAATGTCGTCTGCGTATGCGAGGAGGCTAACCTCAGCTTCATGCAGTTTAAAGCCGCTTATTGCAGGGTTATTAATTACACTTAAGCAGAAAGGTTCAATGAAAATAGCAAAAAGCAGGGGCGATAGTGGACACCCCTGTCTTACTGACCGCAGCACAGGTATACGCTCACCCGCAGTTTTATTTAATACCAATCTCGTCGTGCATCCAGTGTAAGCCATGCGCACTCCTTCGCTAATCAAACTCCCTACGTTAATGTGCTCAAGTAATGAAAGGAGCACGTCGTGCGGCACGCGATCAAATGCCTTTTCGAGGTCAATTTGAAGCATGGCAACATTGAGATGCATAACGTCACAACTTTCTAGGATTGATCGTGCTATGTTTATGTTGGTCATTATTTTCCTTCCCTTTATGCCACAAGTTTGGTGGGGCCCAATCAGTTTTGTCATAACTGTCTGGAGTCTTCTGGCCAATATTTTCATCAATATTTTATAGTCAACATTAGTTAGGCTAATTGGTCTATAAGCAGTAACACTTCTTAACTTCGCGGGATCTTCTGTTTTAGGTATTAAGACCGTGTGGGTTGACAAAAACGATGGTGGAAGTTGTTTACACTTAAAAGCCTCGTTAAATACCTCCCTCAAAATAGGTGAAACTACGTGTTTGAATTCCTTGTACACTGCAGCACTAATGCCATCTGGTCCTGGAGACTTACCATTGTTTAACTTATCAATTGCTTTTTCAACTTCTCGCTCTGTTATAGGCAATTCTAAAATTTTCTTTCTTTCATCATCAAGTCTTGGCATTATTGAAATGAAATCGCTATTAAAACGTTCTGCGTGTACACTGGTTGGTGTGAATAACTCTTTGTAATATTCGAAAAAAGCACCGGCTATTGCTTCTTTCGTATGGCACCTTGTTCCTTTATATTCTATTTCTCTTATTTCATTCTTACAGGCATGTCTCTTCTCAGCTCCAAGAGCTCGTTTTGTTGGCATTTCTCCCGCTACCAAGTTGTCTGCTCGAGCTCGAATCAATGCTCCACGATAACGTTCTTGGTCTATCAACTCTAGCTTCTGTTTAGTTATGTTTATCTCCTCTGAAAATGTTCCGGCCTGAGTACATTCATCCGCTACTAACTGTTGCAAGTTTTCACGCAAACGCACTTCAAGTTCTTTTTCAGCATGTCTCAGGATACTGGCTCTCTCAAGTGCTTTCAGTTTAATGGTCTGTTTAAATATTTCCCACTTATGTCCCCAGGATTCAAGTGTTCTATTTGCTAAGTCTTCTATGCCCTCTAGAAAAATCCGATTAAACTCTTCATCCTTTAGTAGCTTTACATTAAATTTCCAGAGGTCCCAAGAGAAATTTTTGTTATTCCTTTTATGTTTACCCATTGAGAATGAAACCAAACAATGATCACTAAACGTAACAGGTGTAACTCTGTAATCATGGCACGAAGGAATGATTTCGGAAGACACATATACTCTGTCAAGTCTAGCATGGCTTGAACGCTGAAAGTGGGTAAACATAACCCCTTTTCCACTGCAAAGACATTCACCCACGTCCTCTAGCTGAGCTTTCGCCACCATATCAATTAGAACGGCAGTGCTTGAATCTCTGTATGACCTGGAACTTGATTTATCTATACTCGAACAAACGCAGTTGAAATCCCCAGCCAAAATTAGTTTACGTTCACATTTTAAATACACATCAAGTTTTTCAAAAAACTCCTTTCGATCTTGAATCACAGTGGGTGCGTACACACAGATTACTCTCCATTTTTCTCTTTGTAGGGATAAATCACATATAATAAAACGACCCGCCTCGCAGGTAGTTACAGACTCCACTTTCGCATTTAGGCTTTGCCGAATTAACAAGAGGCAACCTGCAGACGCACCTACCGCGTGACAAACGCACACATCAAACACTCTTGTGAAAGGCTGCACCATTCGCTCAGCGTGCTCTTCACTCTCTACTTTAGTTTCCTGTACAGCGACGATGTCCAGATCTTGTTCTATAATCAGGCGGTAAAGCTGGTTTTGCCGCCGTTTGGCAGAAAGCCCACGTACATTTAGCGTCGCCAATTTAATCGTCGTCATCGTGATGCGAGAAAGCCGAGCGAAAGACGCTTACCTTACCAACACCTAAACAACTGTCCGGCCGACGCTCACGGCGTCGTCCCGTCGCCGCCGCGTGAAAGCGACGACGAACGCAGGCGGCCAGCACCCCGAGACTTTTTGGAGCCAGCCACTCGCCACTGCCCTTGATCTTCCTGGGTCAGACGCTGCTGGGACGCCGCGTCTCCCTCATTCAGGCGGCGCTTTACTGGCGTAGCTTCAACTGTATCCATGTCCGAAGTAGCGTCGGACCCGATGACTGGTTCAGCCTTGTGCTGGGTTTCCATTTGAGTCGAACGCCGTGGCGTTGGAGTGCCCACAACCGTATTTTCATCTGTGCCTGCGTCTTGCTTAGGTGTCTCCGTCTTTTCCTCGCTGGTCGCCACTGCATGAGACGCCTCCTCTCCTGCCTTCGACGCCGCGGCCCTCTCTGCTTCCTCTTCATCCATGAGCAATTCACTGTGGTCGGCATTTGTTGCTCGACTTGCTGCACTGGCATAGGAACGAGTACAGTCCGCCTGCTCATGCCCAAAAGCGCGACAACCAGCGCACCTGGGCACCCTGCAGTCGCGACGAATGTGTCCCGTGTTCCGGCAACGCAGGCACAGCGGTGCTCTTCCTGGCACGACCACCAGTGCCATGCCGCTTCCGAGACGCATCTGGTGGGGTATGCGATCCGTAGTAACGCCTTCTTTGAGTAGTAGCCGAACGAATCTTGTGGTTGACTCAACTCCTTCGAAGTCTTCGTCTCTCCACTTGTCGCTGATAACTTCTTTCACTTCACCGTACTCCCGGAAAGCACGCCGTACAGTCTCTGCGTTGACGTCAAAGGCTACCCAATGCAACTTGAGACGCACCTCTTGCCTTTCTGGGTCGACGACGACGCAGGGCCGGTCTTTCACGGAGAGTAGGCCAGCGTCCAGAACTATCTTCTTGGCTTCATCTGTCTTCATGTTAAGAAGCCAGACGTGCGACATCTGATACGCTCCTATGCCGCTTACCTCTTGAATGATGCCTAGTTCCTTGAGCGGCTTTCGGAAGTCGTTAATCCCGTACGGACGCGCTGCGATGTCGCAGTGCAGAACCAACGTGCGTCTGAGTCCTTCTCCTGTGGGCAGTGGTGGCAGAATTAAACGGTAGTCCTTGGGAAGCGATGTGCACGAGAAACCGCGGCTAGCGTCGGCCGCTGTAACAGCTCTTGAGGAGCCTGCCATCCTGCGTCCGCACGCGTCGGTGTGGGTCACCCCGGAGCAGAACCTTCGCTGTTCAAACGGCAAGCTACTTATATTTACCGCTTACCGCAGCTCACGAGTATCTCGGAGGGAAATGTGTTTTCAGCATTACCAGCAAGATGGCGCAAAGAGCGACGCTCCCTCACGCGCCCTTATCTCGCGGCGGCGAGGAGGGAAGGTCGTACGCCTTGGCTGGCCTTCGGGCTTTACCTGGAACGATTCTGCTGTAGTTACCTGGTGCACAAAGGTCACTACAATCATTGCAGTCTCCGTTTGCGAAAAGCGCGCGCTTTTCAAACACATCAAAGTAACAAATGAGAAGCTTATTTGCGTGCACCCGTGCCTGTGAGTACGTTTTGTGCGTGAGGAACGCGGGGCGCGTTTCAATTTGCTTTCAATTCTGCACGCGACCTTTCAATTCGTTGATATCGCGTTCATTGCTTCTCCTTTCCGGCAAAGCTGTGACTTTTTTTTGAGGAAAGCGTAGTTCATGGATAGGGGAAATATCGCAGGTTTTGCGCCCACAAACCAAGATGCTGCTGATTATGAGGTGAGTTTTAATGGAAAGGGGGAGGGGCACCAAAATTTTTGTTGGCTATTTACTGCTCTTTGACACTGCGAACCTATAGACGTTGCGCAGTACATGGGCAGCCGATCACTGTAATCACAATTCCATCACAACGGAGAGTGGTTAGGAATGGAGCCAAGATAGCTATGAGCGGAGCAATCGGAAAATATAGTTCTCCCTGTACGGCCCTCCTGAAGCATTTGGTGAAAGAAGTTGGCAGTAGTATTACGCTTCTGTACTTGTACCCCCGAAGTTCACGCACATCATTACTTGCATGCACAACCAACCCTGCTTGTGTGTTGAATGTTCTTAACAGCATGGCGGTACAAAGTGCTCCACACATCGACGAAATATTCACGCACGTTCACAATAATTGAAGATGTTTTTTTTTTCGTTTTTTACACAGTTCTTTTTATTTGCATCGTTTTTAATGCTCGAACCTGAGCCACCCAAAACGCTCGGCACATCTCAAACGACAAGACACCGTCGGTCTTTACTGGCCGACGGCACCACTGGGCACTCAAAGGCGTCGCCAAATTCGCTCGCGTTCATGGCCACACTACATAGCTCCGAGCCGCGACGATGACCACAAAATTTGCTGCAAAAGCTGACGTAAAACGTCTGTAGACCCGTCAGCTGCTCGAGACCCTCGAGCCCTTCAAGCTGGTTTTTGGTGTTGCTCCTGAGTGCCTCCAAGGCGACGTTCAAGGCGAACAGGCGAACCACGGCGTCCCTTTCGCGACTCGTGTTGGTCGAGTCCAGGCGACACTTCGCGACCTGCTTCCATTCGTGCTTCGCGGTGTCGTCCGTGGTGCGGCCGTGCTCATCCACCGTTCTGACCAGCGCCCTGGCAATCTGGAAGCCCAGGCCGCTGTAGGCCGACACGCCCGCGTCGTCATGGTAATAGGAAGGCGGGAAGAGTGCCGACAGACTGACTTGCAGCAAGTCGCCGCTGTACCAGTACCGCACCTCTTTAGCGGGCCACTGTACACTCCCCGTCAGCAGGCGGCTGTAGTAGCTGTTCTTCAATATTCGGCGCGCGGCCCTCCGCGCCTCGAACAGGGACTTGAACAAACCGGGCGAGGTCGTCACTGCAGCGGGGAATCCCTCGTACAGTTCGTCCAGCAGTTCTGCGTGAAAGAATGGCTCGGGTGGCCACAGCTGACGCCTGGTACTCTGCAGGATCTTCTCGACTGCCCAGTTCTTGGTCACGTTCGCCAGGCTACGCGACGCCAACACGGCTCGCGCCAAGGCCTGCGTTGTTTCGTTCAACAGGTCGAAGAGGCGTTGCCTGTTGTCCTGCTGATGGAAGTAGGCTAGGAATTGGGGTGCCACCAGTAGCATGCCGTACGACTCCTGGATGGCCAGAAAGCAGGCTGCCTGCACGTCGAAGACGTCGCTCTCCTTGCCGGGTTGAAAGTGGTTCAAGTCTGGGTTGACGAGCCACAAATAGGAGTAAGCGAACGTCCAGCCGATGACGTTCAGTAGTCTGTCACGGGGCACCGAGTCCAGCAGGGTCAAGACTGCGTGGAAGTGTCGCCCGCTGTGAGCCAGGAGCTTGGTCGAGGGCGACAAGTTGACGTCTCGGCCCAGGTGACGCTGCAAGAGGGTCAGCCAGGTCGGGCCCATCTCCGATACGCTATCGTTGAGGTAAGCTACGAAAACGTCGACTTCCTCTTCCTCGGACCACGCGATCGGCGTCACGTTGTTCCTGACCGAACCCTCGTCCTGTCGAAGCTGGCGACAGGCTTCGTCAGAAAGCACTGCCCCTTCGCGGAGGTAGCCTGCCACGCTGCGCAGGAGGTTGTCGTATTCACCGACGCTCAGGTTGCTGTCGGACAGCTGCTCCATGCGCAGAAGGGTGACATCGCCAATCCCTTCGAAGGCGACCACCAGTGGGTTCTCGCGCTCGGTGTACAGTAGTCGCACGTCGAAGAGCAGCGGCACCCTCCAGTTTACAGCCAGGTCGACGAGGACGTCCAGCGGGTCTGCGTCTTGGGGCGCGCTTGAAGGCCAGGGTATCTTCCGGGCACTCATGAACTCCGCGAACGACTTGACGGTGTCGAGACCTCCCGCGGACCTCGAGAGACAAGCGTTGAAGGCGGAATAGGCCATGTGCGCGGCGCCAGAACTGTTACGCTCCTCAGGAACCAGGCCGCGTTGAATGAAGCCCTTCACGCTTTCTACGTACGATGACATCAAGCTGCGCATAGAAGGGAAATGTTGCGCGTTCCTGAGATGTGCCGGGGTCAGTTGTGTTTGTTAAAGTGTAAAAATGCATGTGAGTGACATTATGTGTTAATGGCAAGACAGAATTTCCCTCCTTAAGTACATCAGTCGATCATGTCTCCCTTGATGTAATTATTAAAGGCTACGTTCACAATTGTGATATATTAGGCAGTACACTGATATTTGCAATAGATTGGTCGACTGCGAAGAATGGAAGAAGCACTATATGAGGTAATGGACACTATATATAGCGTGAAGGCACAAACCTCGTCACTGAGCCGGTGTGTCTGCTGAAATACCTTCGCGAAGCCCCACTCGCAGACGGGGCTACAGATCCGCCGAATGCCTCAGCTAACCTACATTGAGTTTAAATGGGTCAAAGACCACCCCTCGGCCTTGATAAAAAAAACTTGGTGTGGAGAGCAAACGCTGTTACGAACTGTTCAGCCAAACTATGCAGACGTGCGCGGCAAAGAATATTTAGAAGCTGAGCGCAAAGTTATCGTTTTCTCATAGGCGCTCCCTTCACAGAGGCCGTGGCCACACTCACTCTCCTTAGTGGGCGGGGCCCTTGCTCTTTGACGTCGGACAGAATCCTTAAGGCCTGACCACACGCAATCGCTTCCAGCGCGTCAGCGCACGGCTTTATTGACGCGGCACCGCGCCCTCTCTCTATATAGAGAGAGGGCCTCAGGATCACGTGGGCACGCGCCCTCTCTCTCTCCACGGAGAGAGGGCGTGGCGCCGCGTCACAAAGCCACGCGTGGACGCGCTTCGACGGGTGTGTGTGGTCAAGCCTTTGTTCGTGTCGGCTATTAATGGCCGACATCAATGAAGCGTGGCAGCTGTATCGAATGCGAGTCTTTGCCAAGGGACGCCGCTAAGTGCCGGTGCCATATTATTATACGCAGAACAGCCACACTCGCCTACACGAACCACAGCGGCCAAAGAGCGATCCCGCTTCATCACACGTGCTGGCGTAATTTCTGTGACGTAACTGTGTAGCTTCCAGCGATGAGCGATAAGATAAAGTGCTTAATAAAGTGTGGGGCATAAGTACACTCATTCTTGACGAATTTGCAGCTGTAGCAGTTTTTTTTTTTCGGCAATCGATTTTTTGGGCAATGAACTTCAATACCGAGGTCAATCGATTGTTATTTCGAAAAGTAGTTAAAGAGCCCTTTAACACGGTAGTCTAGGCGAAGAGATCTCTGAAGGGCTCACCTCCTCTTCGAGTCTGAAGCTTTGGCGCCACCACACGTGTAGGCGTACAGGTCTTCGCAAGGGTTCCGCTTGGCGTCGATGTTCATGGCGATCCGGGAGGCCTGTTCGCGGCAGTCCTTGGTGCCGCAGACTTTGGCGGACGAGAGAAGCGTGGCGTCCAGCTGGACCTGCTGGCGCATGAGCACCATCGCGAGCGCCAACCCAACGCAGGCGACGGTCATGCACATGACGCACGGAAGCAGGCCTGGGTGCCGACGCTGCAGCTCGGACGCGGCGGTGAACGGACCGGAAATGACGGGCAGGAAACGCTGCTCACGTTTCGCGGAGCGAGAAATGTAGAGTTACTGCCACACAAATAGTTTCTTGCTAAACTCTGATACAAAGAATTTCAGTATAACAAAGTTTTAAATATAACGAAAGAAGAGGCATTCAAAGGCTGTTTTTGTTGTTGTTGTTGTTTTTCGTACTCCTAACTATAGTATGATTTGATTGAGTAGAAATTAAAGTGCATGAAAGGACGTCGCCGTTGGCGGGGACCAAACACCTCCAACCATCAGGTAATGCGTCCAATTCTTCGCCGATGGAGCTCTTGCACAGTCGGTAGAGCATCGGACGCGTGGATTGCTTATAATGGTATACAGAAGGGTGTCAACGAAGAGTGTTTGGATTGTTGGGCAGCTCTACTGAGTTTTGTCAAAGAGAAGGACGGCAACCGGAGTTTGTGTCACCTACTACCATCTGAGCTCCATCACCGAGATGTGTTCACCCTTTCCCACGAATTGATGATAGGTCTCAGACTCATTTGGTGCCTTATTTTTCTCCGTACATTTAACTTCGTGCTACTGGCAAATTCGTACGCATCCATAAAAAATACACGGCTTTCACAACCACTGACAGACCGTGCGAATTCAAGGTGATGCCGTTTGGACTACGTAACGCACCCGCTACGTGCGGAAGGCCCATTGACGCTATTCTGAAAGTGGAACAACTATATGCATTATATTAGAAATCGCCATCTTCGCGTGTGCATTTAGTTAACATAATTAGTGCAACTTGTCGAACGCATTAGGAATACTGGTCTGGCTCTTATTGCGAAGTGTAGTTTAGTCGAGGGACGACCTGTGGTTCTTTAGTACCTCGTCAACAAAGATGGCATCAGGCCTGGCCCAAATAAGACAGGGGTCATGATGGCATGAAGACGTCTCAACACCATAGCTCTCTTAAGGAGGTTCGTGGCTTATTCGGCCTGTGCTCTCATTTTCACAGATTTTTTTCCCGCATTTGCCGACGTTGCTTTTTACAAAGACCACTCTACAGTCTCCACTCCGACAAGGTGCTATCGTTTTGAATGCACACATGAGTGCGAGGCTTCCTTCAAGCAGTTGAAATCGTTACGTCACAGCATGTTGTCCGGTACTTTGGTCCTGTTGAGGCGATTGAAGTTCATGCTAACAATAACGAAGTTTCAGTGCTGCTGCAGAGGAAGACCGAGGCAATGAATTGAACGTTCTGCCGGGGCTAGCGCTCATATGAGTTGCACACGGTTTTTACCACAGTGCCGCTATTTATTACGGCTTTACGAACGAAATTTGCATACTGCTGAGGGCATCCTATCCCCTCCTCAGCTCTTTCATGCAGTGCTTCAAGCAGCGCGTAAACGGGGCTCTTATAATAGACCACACAACACGCGCTGTGCTGTTTGGTATATTATCAGTGTCTTGCTTTCACGCTGCTTGGAACAGAATGTGCACGTACAAACAAACCCGCTTAAGCACCATTTTGTCGTGCACACCTCCGACCAGCACCGTCGCGTGACCAAGCTACATAGTTGGATCACGCGACCAACCAAACCGGCCAATTGCGATTTATTGTCGAAATTGGCCGCTTTGGGTCGCAAAGCGGCTGCCTTGGCTTCGTCACTGGCTGCTCGATTTATCAGATGCGCGATGGCAGTCGCAAACCTTTGAATCAATCAGATGAGCAGGAACAGGACGTCAGTTTATTTTACCGGACAGTGACAACGTGAGCTGTATGTGACCAAACGAGAATTTCGCGTGGCGACGAGTACAGGCCACATAGAGGTGTGAAAACTGGTAGTCTTGAGTAGTTTTCAGGGTGCCTGTTGTCAATCAATCAATCAATAAAGCTTAAATTTTCTATAAAAAGAATAAAAATAGAAATAACATTTCGATCAATAGGCTTAAATGACTAGTGACCAGTCCAATAAATACAATGTGTATGGAGAATGTACAGGTAAGCAAAAAAAAACAGAAATCAATTATATGAATACAGGAAATACACGTATACATTATCTCAAATCAAAACACATACACTTAGGCTTACATATTTTGTCTCAATAAAAGAAAAAAGAACTTGCGTGCGAGACCAAAACTACGTCCAGTTTTAATATCAAGGAGAATCGCAATCTATATTTTCGTCCCATTAAATTTGATCAGCCTTATGATCGAGCCACCGGCACAAGTCGCAGGTGTTAAAGAGCCTTGACCTCTTGACATCCACCCCTGCTTGACTCATTAGCGCGACGTGCCCTCTTGGCGCATCAACCCCGTTTACACGAATTCGACGCTCTAAAAGCTGGTGCTACGCGATACGATGCGCCACTCGTCGCATTCATGCTGGCTCACTCACCCGGTAACTTCGGGTAATAGTGACCACCGATGGTAGCTGGGCGTCGGACGACGAGTCATCCAAGCGTGTGCGGCTGGTGGAGTTGTCGTCGTCCTTCAAAGCGACCATGCTGGGACGTCGACCGAAGACCCTCATGCTGGTCGCGTTCCGTTCTTCTCGGTGGCAACTGGACAGCAGTGGCTTACGCGCCCACAGGCCTCGGGACTACGCGAGCACGTGGCACCGCGCGTGGACGGCGAGCGTGTTCTTCCTCTTTGCTGCCCAATAACCGGGACGATAAAAAAGTATACTCTCGATAATCCCCCCTTTTTTTTGATGTTTTTCACTGAAGTTTTTCAAAGACCTTACCATTTCGAGACAAAGTTGCAAAAAAAATATTATTTTGTCAAAACTCCAAGAAATTCCAAAAGAATAGAAAATGTTTCGGGCAGCTATATATTCACCTCTTTCTTCGAGGAGGACACACAAATTCATCATTTAATACCGAATAATGGGCTGCGTAATGTACAGAACAACTTCTAAACCGTGTTATCAAGCCTGTTGCAGATGACCAATTGCTGAAAGCGGCTTTAAAAGAGTGCTGACACAAAAATTCTGAACCTTATTTTTGTGTTCGTGTGGCAATAGGTAACTTATGACCGACTTATCAAGGCTACAAACCTGGTTTAGGTAAGTGAGTGAGCGATTGTTATTTATTTAGATAAGTTTTTACCGTGCCAAGTGGCAGTTTCCGTTTCAAATTGAGAGCGCACCGAGCATTTCCTGTGGATAGATGAACGCAGCTGGCCACGTGACCACAAAAAACTGTTACGTGAGCATAAAATACAGAAAGTCACGATAGAAATGGCGGATAAATACAAATACTTGGACGTATGGATAAATAACGGGGCTGAGCATCTAAGGGAGCAGGAATGATATATACGTATTGACTGAGGGCACTAGGAATGCAGCTGTAACGAAAAATAGCGCACTGTGGAACTACAATAGCTATAACGCTGTGCTAGGAATTTGGAAAGGTGTCATGGTCCCTTGTTTGACGTTCGGCAATGCGGTCTTGTGCATGAAATCGGAAATTCAAGCAATATTGGAAATTAAACAACGTGCCATAGGTAGACTTAGCACACGGGAATACCCCGAATCAGGGGGTACAGGGAGACATGGGATGGACATCGTTTGAGTGCAGGGAAGCTAGCAGCAAGGTAGAATTTGAGGAGCAATTGAGAAAAATGGGAGAGGAGCGTTGGGCTAGGAATGTTTTCAGTTACTTGTACATGAAGAATGTCGATACTAAATGGAGGAAACGAACTCGAAAATTCTCAAGCGAGTATTTAGACAACAGCAAAATACCAAGCCAAAAAGAAACATCGGTTAAGAAGAAGATGAAGAAAACAGAGAGGGACATGTGGAAGATGGGCATGCTTGCGAAACCATCACTGGAGGCCTACCGAAGTTTTAAGCAGGAAATTGCAAGGGAAAAGATCTGCGATAATTCTTGGGGTAGTTCACTGCTCTTCGAGGCTAGAACGGGAGTATTGCGGACCAAGACGTACCGAGCAAAATACGAAGGCACAGACATGGTATGCAGTGCGTGTGGAGAGGAGAAGGAAACGGCTGAACATTTGATAATGTTCTGTAAAGGGCTCCACCCTATAGCCGATGATAATGGCGCCGAAATTTTCAAAGCATTGGGGCTTAGGGACAGTGAAGGCAAAATAGACTTTAAACGGGTAGAAATAACCAGGAGGAGGCTAACTGATTGGTGGCTACAATCGAGGCGCGAGTGAAATTCAATACTTAAACACACAGTGATAGTACTTGACTTTGTTGCTAGGTGGCGTGAGCCACCGCCCGATCTAAAGGGCACAGCTGGATACATCCATCCACCCATCCAATACAAACTCATGAAGCAGCGTTTGTTAAAGGGCCACTCACCACCCTGCGTGTAAAGACAAGGGGGCGATTTCCTCCTCTCCTTCATTCACACGATGCATTCTCCTCGCCCCTTAGTTTTTGAATGCGCGTGAACAATGGCTGTGTTCCAATTCTCAGAGAGCACGTAGACAGTATACGCAGACTGCTTAGAAGACAGCACCGAGCCCAAGTTGTCCGAGAATTGGAACACTTCTAGACGGCTTTTACGTGACGTTGCGCCACCTCGCGTCGAGAAGAAAAAGCTAAAATAAACAAATGTAACAGTTGTATTTTTTTGGCTTACTTCGTGTTGAAATCAAAAATAAATAAACGTTGCTCACATTGAGCGTCTGGGAAAGCGTCAGCTTGTGCGCAGACGACCATACCGGTGAGATCCGATCTATCTGAGCGATTCGCTGAGCCACCATTTTGTTTAGACAGCAAAGTAGCCTGCATTGTATTTGTCTACAATGTGGTCTTCTCGGAGCTTTCTATTTTGCCGGCTACGTGAGAATTGGAATGGGACTTCAGATGGCCTTCAGCTGGGACTTCAGCTGTCTATTTAGCCGTCTAAGGTGAGTATTGGAACACGGCCAATATCAGCACTAAGTGCTAGAACATAACAGGATTCCGCGGTTCTCGGCTGCACGCTGTTATAGCCGCTTGCGCGGTTGTAAACACACACAAAAAAGAAGCTTGATCGGTTAATTGTGCACAACGTTCATGCGAGACAACGAAAAACGGGTGGGCGGCTGTATCGCAAATCAGCGCAGGAGACAAATCACGTGTGATATTTCCTATATCAACAAATCGAGACCATGTACGCCGTAGACGTCACAGGTGCTACCGTTTACGTCACGGTAGTGCGCAAAGCAGGACGAGAAATATCAGGAAATAATATTGCGCTCTTTTTTTGTATGTTGGCAGCCTGGTTAGTAGCCCTTCAAGGGGGACAGATGCAATGCCGATATATATATATATATATATATATATATATATATATATATATATATATATATATATATATTATGCTGCGTGATTGTAACTCTTTCTTTCTCCCCTTTTGCTGTCCTATATACCCCTGAGCTTGAAATCAATGCTCGTCTCTTTGGCCTGTCACATCGGCTATATTTTTCATGTCACCGCTGCCGGTCTATGGCCGGTAGTATACGTAACAGCGGCCACGAGGATTCTACTGCAGCAAGAAGGCAAACATACGCCCAAATGCGACAGCCTGCAGAACGAACCCATAAGCAATGGCACACCAGCCACAGGAGTTTCATGACGCAAAATATGTGGCAGGCGTACTTACTAAAGGTAAAGGGCTGCTTTGAAGTGAATGACGGTAGTATAAGAAAAGAGCCCTGCTGGTAGCTGCGCTTGGAAAAAGACAATTGACGTCTTGAACGAAAAAGTAGCGCCGCGCAAACTTAACGCTCTGACCTATGCAGGAGTTGTGCAATAATAATAAAATTAATTAATAGTGTATAACGTCCCAATACCACCATATAATTATGAGAGACGCCGTATAGTGGAAGGCTCCGGAAATGTCGACCACCTGGGGTTCTTTAACATGCACCCAAATCTGAGCACACGGGCCTACAACATTTTTCGCCTCAATCGCAAACGCAGCAGCCGCAGTTGGGATTCGAACCCGCGACCTGCGGGTCAGTAGCCGAGTACCTTAGCCACTAGACCACCACGGCGAGGCGCAGGAGTTGTGCAGACTACTACTACTACCCAGTGCCGTATAAAATTGCTGAAAGCTTCAAACTATTCCATCGCTGCGAACATGAATTTATCGTGGCAATTTGACAGCTGGCCCAGAATCGCAATATTTCGACGATGCTGGGCAGAATGATAAGGGGTCTTGTTGTGTGCGTATAGTCAGGTCCAAGAATTTGTAAAAGCAACTGCTAGCAAAGAAAGAGCTTAATCTTCAAGAAGGAAAACCCCACCACCGTGGTCTAGTGGCTAAGAAACTCGGTTGCTGACCCGCTGGTTGCGTTATCAAATCCCAGCTGTGGCGGCTGGATTTCCGATGGAGGTGGAAATGTTGTAGGCTCGTGTGCTCAGATATGGCTGCACGTTAAAGAACCCCAGGTGGTCGAAATTTCCGGAGCCCTCCACTACGGCGTCTCTCATAATCATATGGTGGTTTTGCGAGGGTAAACTCCACATATCAAACAATCACGAAGCGGATGTTCTTTCTCTTGCAGCAGAAAGCGCCGAACACGATCCGTAAGGTATTGCTTCAGGTAAAGAGCAAGCGAGTTTGTTTAAACACGAGTCACGCGCGAAGTCACCGGGCGTACAACAATGCGAATGTTATGCGAAGCGTGGTCGCAGAACCAGCGCTTGCTGACTAACCAAGTGCAGATGTTCCAAATGTACACGACGAGGACACTTGGCCAGAATGTGCACGGTTAGCAACCGAACAAGCAGGATGCTAGCAGTGAGAGCAGGCGGCAAAAAATCAAGACAGCGATAACAGCGCGCCACAAATCTGCTTGATGACTAAGAGCTCGTGCACTGATACCCCCTGTCAGTATGATATTCGCGTGGAATAACATTAACGTAACGATGCACACCGATACAGGTCCTCCTGTTTGCGTTATCTCTAAGAGCATCTACGATATACTGCAATCAATAGCCGTCGCTACAGAAGTCAGAACTACAGCTTTCATGCTATCTGGGAAAACTTCCGCCTCTTGGCGCATTAACGATGCCGGTTTGCTACCAAAATACCGCAGTGCAGTGCAGTTTGACTGTTTTAGACTGAGATGGGACCTGCAGTCTGTGCGGTTGGGATCTGCTGAAAAAAAAAATGACAGATGAACGAATCCAGACTTTCGACGTTGCAGCCCCTTCAAATCCAAGTCAAGCCTGGGAGGTCGTTCCGAAGGTGCTCCAGCAAAACAATGACATAAAAGGTACGCCAGCCCTACTGTACTTCAAGACCACATCAAACCTCAAGTTCTTCAAGGCGAGGGAATTTTTTTACAATTCGAGATAAAGTGTCAAAAAAGCTTGAGTAGCCGTGGTCATACTTTCTACAGTCTCTCATTCCAAATGGGATACATTGTTCCCGTTTTAAAGAAGAACGGAACGGGGCGCGTATGCCGTGACTTCAAGATGACTTTAAACCCAGTGTGTGAGGTTGAGCAGTACCCGTTGCCTGTTATAGACGGCCTTTTTGCATACTTATGTGGACAGAAGAAAATCAGTATAATAATCCTTCGCGACGCATACAACCAGGTTGAGCTAGATTAACACTCGCGGAAATCAGCAGGGATGAAACACGCCGAAGGGGCTGTTCTAATATAACAGATCATCGCTTGGCATCGCGTCTTCTCGTGCGATATTCCGACTGAAGGGAAAACTACGGAGCCAAATCGCGTGCATCCTACCGCCAATTAAGGTAGTTCCAAATTAGCGCCCGTATTTTCAACTTGAAATATAAATGCTCTTTTCTTATTTTTTTACGTCATGCTATTTGAGACAGGACGCAGCTCACACCAGTAAGATATTAGTATTTCTTTTAATTTACCTGCTGTGACTTCGAGTTTTTGAACGCGTGAGAAATTACCGCATTTTTACGGGCACCTCAATCCGCCAAGCGGCGTCTGCATCTACATCAAACACTGATGGTGCACTCCCGCCATTTTTCGCAATGTTACGAGACGCGCACCAAAACGGACTACTTCGCGTAGTGCTACATGTGTGCAGAAGCTCCGCCTCCGTAGCTTTCTCTTCAGTGCCAAGAAAAGTTGTCGCCGAGTGTGTAGTGAGCCATTTTATGGCGCACATGGCAGCTACCTTTTTTCACACTGTTAGCTATGGATAGATGGATGAATGGATTCGACCGTCGGCCGTCGTGCAGTTCCTCAGCAACTTCACGGGTACATAACCCCAGCAGATAGCTGAAGGAGACCGTGCTGACACCGTTCTCGGGAATGTTCAAAGAGCGTCCCGGGAAGACCGATGTCCTAGTGCATCGTATCAGTACTGGCAACGCCCAGACTTGGCGTTGCAACCCGACACCGTCGAGCCAGCGCAAGCGAGCCCTTCTCGATAAAGCGCTGGACGAGATCATTGACACCGGAGCCGTGCGACCCTTTGAAAGCCTGAGGGCCTTCCCATGGTGTTCCAGTGAAATAAAAGGCGATACGGAACGTCTTTGTGTGGACTACCGAAAGCTCAACGTGGTCACGGTGAGATATACCTATCCTTTCCGGCAATATCGAGCATAACCTATGCGCTGGGAAACGCAAAGTTCTTTCTCCATCACAATCGACTGCTCTTATGGGTATAGCTGCAAATCGCAGTTCTCCTTGACAATGTCCCGAAAACGGCATTCGCTTGCCATAGAGGCTCGTTTGAGTTTGTGCGCGTGCCTTTTGGTATTTCTAACAGCCTGAGTTTCTATTAGCGCATGATGAACATAGCATTAGGCGATGCAAAACTTAATTATCTACGTTGGTATGTTGATGATGTGATGGTAATCTCACGCATGTTTGAAGAGCATCTGGAACACTTGCATGCGGTTCAACAGCGCATGGCAGCAGCTGGTCGAACAGTTCGTCCCACAGTTTTGCAGCTCACTGCTAACAAGATCAACCTGCTTGGGTTTGTTGTCGACAACGGTGTACTAAAACCGAACCCACATATGCTGCGCAGAATTGCAGATTTCCCTTGTCCCAGAAACACTCAAGGCAAATTGCACTGCTTGATCTGCAGTGGCCGCCAAAATCTTGGAGTGAGCACTCGGAGTGTGCCAAACGAGATCTGCGAGTGGAACACGTGAATGCCTTGTGTGAGGTCTCTCCGGAAGTTTTTTTACGCATACGTCACTAAACCGGTACCGAAAGCGATTTTCTTTTCTGGTCTCGACGTTCCAAAGACAACTGTGTCGCCACTTCAAAGCACGCATTTCGACCACACAGTTTCGCAGAAAGCAGGGCTGTTGCTTTCTCATTTTTGGAATGTAAACAAAAGCACAGGGTTACTAGAGCACCTAAAAAACACTGAGGGCAACCCAGGTGCCCGACTGTACCGGAAATGACGGCAACGCATTCTCGAAGTTCCGGCGAAATCCGTCTCTGCAAGACGGAACACGCGGAACGCTTCGTCGCGGAGTGGATTGCTCCGAATCTACCAGTGAAAAATGCGAACTTGCTTCCAATCTACCAGCGAAACGCGGGTTGTCAGCTTTGGAGCAAGAAAACTTGCTTCCGCTCGATGAGTGGAATTCGCCATAAAAGAGTATGCAAAGTTTACTACGGGAATGATTGCTTTTTATCGTGATTTCATTGCACAGTGCACAGACATCGCTTGACCACTAACACCACAGCTGAGGAAATCCGCCAATGACAATAGAGCAATGATCCGTAAGCAGCTTTCGACACACTTTTGTGAGCGATCACCAGTAATGCCTCTATACAGTGGCCAGATCTAAACAAACCTTCTTTGTTACAGACTGATGCAAGCGATTATGGCCTTGGCTCGCTACTCTCACAGGAATTCACCGGCACTCTGAGGCCTGTTGGTTCTGCAAGCCATGCTTTGACGGGTGCGGAACGCAACTACTCGCTAGCAGTGTCTGGCCATCATTCTTCCATTAAAATGTTATACGTGTTTTTCGAATAGGACACAGTTTATTATGCAGGCTGATCAACAAGCACTGTGTTGGCTGAAACGGTAACTTCATTCCTCCGGACGATTGGCCCGATGGGCGCTTATTTTGCAGCGCTACGATTATGTCGTCGAGTACAAGAAGGGTAGCCCAAACACAGTTGCTGACGCACTTTCACGTGCGCCGTTGTCTATTAGAACTCGGGTTGAACACAAAAAAAGTGTGTGCGGTAACGACACCACTTGAAACCATGCATTCACGTTGGTGTATTTGGCTACTAACCAGGAGGTTCCTGCAGCGCAGAAGAGTGATGGCCTCTGCTGTAAAGTGTCAGAAAAGCTTGCGACTCGTGATGCAGCTGACGCAGGAAGCGATGAGGAGGCGTTCTGCTTAGAGGAGGAGGCCTCTCGTTCTGGTATTTTACTCACGTCGACTATGGTTATGCAGAATGACCACTTCAAGTTGTTATTCCTCGCAAACTTCGCTAATCCTCCATGGCGTCCTACCACGACAGTGATTTAGCTGCTCACTATTCAGGGCAGTAAACTTGAGAGAAAGAGTATCGTATGGTAACTTGACCAAGTATGGAAGATGGATGTATTACATTACGTGCGTTCCTGTTCACTTTGCCGAAGGGCAAGACCACTTGGTGGTTCACCGCTTTAGGCACAATGCGATCAGTTGAGAGGATGTCTCTTTGGCCAATAGGAGCATGTGACGCAATGAATCGTATGTTTCCCATGAGTCCGCGGCGAAACCAGTACCTGCTTGTTGTCACTGACCATTACACGAAATGGGTCGAATTGTTGTTTTTTTTTGCGCAAGCTGACTACGCAGAAAGTATGAAGATGCCTTCTCAAAACTTTCACCAGGTTCGGATTCTCTGCCCAGCTGATCACGGACAACACCACGTGCTTCTGCAGCAAGGTGTTCACGGATTCCTGTGACATCCTGGGAATTCGTCACAAGAGCACGTGTGTGTATTACCCACAGCCCAACGTCATGACAAAGGTAATCGAAATCTTAAATCTATGCTTGTCGCGCATACCAAGCGTCATAAAGTCTGGGACCTGAAACTAACGGATAGCGTTTGTGACCAGAACGAGACTGAATCGCTCAACAGGTTTTATTCTTGCGCAACTTAACCTGGGCAAAGAATCGAATTTTCCGCAGGACAGCGCTCTGACGTGTACAACCACTTCTCCGAGACATTATGTAAAGTTTACAGATGACTTGCGGCAGCGGCTTACCGACATGGTACAACAAGCCAGACAGCACTTCGATGTATCCCACACAGAAAAGGCCGGGCAGTAGAGTAAGTGTCGGAAGATTGTTGATTTTGAGCTTAATGGCTTGGTACTGAAACGCACACATCCCCTTAGTGGCGCTTCAAAATGTTTTTCCGATCCCCTAGCAGACAGGTAGGACAAGCCTTTTTAGAAAAACTCAGAACTCGAAGCTTTCGTGCATGTAGACAGATTACATGACTAATCAAGCGTATGACCCTATTCATGTCTCCGATCTCAAACTTTTCTTTGTACGACAAGATTCAGCTGCTGGGTATCCAGACATTCCTCATCAGAGCTTGGCCACCCAGTCGCCAACACCGCCGAGCAAGTGATGCAATCTGCGTCCGCTGTAACGTAAAATAGAGGGGTTCCTATGTTCACCTCGTTGTGAACATAGCAGATGTGTGCTGTGAACATAGATGTATACAATGCGAGAAGAAAATGTTTATTGGTTTTCGTTTGTCCTCGCTACGCTTTAGGGTCCCTGTGGCCAGACATCATGAGCCAACCTCCGGTCCCCACCCTGACTTCTTGGGGGGGGGTTAACTATGAACTGGCTATGCAGAGATAACGCCACGTGTTGCGCAGTAGTGGTGTGCGTGGCCCAGCTGCGCTTTTCAAAAGTGCCTGCCTGCGTGCTGCGCAGGGGAAAGGTGCCCTGGCTGCCAGAAAGGATGGATGCTGTCACCCCAGCTGGACTATTGCTGCTGCCCGAGAATCATGGTCGCTGCATAGTTGTCTCGTGTCCTTGCGCCTGGGGCCACTCGTGGCCTGGGCCGGCCCGGGCTTATGCCGCGTTTAGTTAAATAAATAAATTGTTGTTTGTTTTGATGTGAAGCCTCCGCTGTCCTTGCTGCAACTACGGACGGGACGCAACAAGCCCGACACCAGCAAGGTGAACTATCGGTAAAATTATTTACAGAGGAACGGGGCTGCTTTACACCATGGGGATCACACTGCTTGATTGTTGTTTGTTTTGATGTCAAGCCTCCGCTGTCCTTGCTTCAACTACGGACGGGACGCAGCAAGTTCGATACCGGCAAGGTGTGCTATCGGTAAAATTATTTACAGAGGAACGGGGCTGCTTTACACCATGGGGATCACACTGCTTGATTGTTGTTTGTTTTGATGTCAAGCCTCCGCTGTCCTTGCTTCAACTACGGACGGGACGCAGCAAGTTCGATACCGGCAAGGTGTGCTATCGGTAAAATTATTTACAGAGGAACGGGCCTGTTTTACAACATGGGGATCACACTGCTTGATAGACAAGCAACCTGAAACAAACAGTAAAGTTTTTCTGCACTGTGTGCCCAGAAGTGGTCACTCGGGCCAAAAGCGGCGTATCTACGCAGCTTTACGCCCACTGAAAGATGGCAACACATCACTCACTGCCTCAAGGAAACACGCGTACTAGTTATTTACTACAGTACCTTTCCAGTGCGTTATACATCTACGTCTTTTTACGACTGTAATAGTGGCCTGAATACATCTGTATCGTCTGGGATTGTACGGTGCGATATCGTCTGGCTGGGATCAGGCATGAATCGGATGCGAAAGAAGTGCACATGGCCTCGACGCGACGGCAACGTTGTCACGCTCCGTGTTTATGAGCATTTAGTGCACTGAAGAAGTACGGGCAGCAGCAGGGAGACGCCACAAAAGATGTGCGATAACGTGCCCGGCGTGCGTCGTGGTATTCGCTGTTTTCGTCTACCACTATACTTGGCTGCTGCTAGGTACGAACGTCATCATCTTTTTTGTGCTCTTCACTTCAGGTACTGTTTTCGTGGATTGCTTCACAGCAAAGTAAACTAGTTGAATGCTTCGCAGCACGTTTGCGAGAACATTGTTTCTTGGCTCAATAAATTGATCACCGCTCGCTTTGTTGGTTTCTTTGTGCTGCTGTACATGCATTCGAATTCACTGCATGAGTGAGATTTTGTGAAAAGTGCACGCTATGCTCAATAGCGTTATCGTGCCGTTAGAAATTACGTAAAGTTCTAACAAGCCAATAAAAGAAAGTGGTGAATCTAGAAAAAATGTTTGTTAGCTAAAGCTGAACTTAATCTTCGAGTAAACGCTTCGATCTCGTTAAACGGCTCGCATGACACTTAAATTGCTTTCTTTGGCTGCGGCAACTGCTAGTGACTGCTTTTCGCGAAAGAGCGATGTACAGTGTGTATAGGAAAATTAGTGGAAAGGTGGGAAATAAAACGTAGCTAACATTTTCTTTTCTTTTTTCGGTTCATGCCGGAGTCAAGTGCTGAGGCAACTACTGCCGTGTCGCCTAGTGCACGGTATGTTTAGTTGTGCGCGTTTACTGCAGTTTTACTCTGCTGCGGCTCTTCTTATATTGTTGCCTATATGTTTATTTCTTGTGCGTAATTTATGATCGTGATATGGCAGTGTCTCGCAGTGCAATTAACCTTGCTTTGTGCCTGCGCTCATCAAACATCAATAAAGTTGGCATGTGCTTACCAAGAATATCACTTGGAGATAAAAGGTTTCACTCCTCCGATCATTCTCATGTTTTAAATTAAATGTGTGCACAGACGCGCATTGTGCGCTTGCCGCTCTAGTGGTGCAGCTTACATGAGGCTCATCGATGCATGCGAACGACGTGTTACAAAAATATATATAGAAGTATGGCCTCAGAGACAAGCACGCACGTGAAAGTGGTCTCCGAGGCTGTATAATATTCCTAGAAACTACAAAATGGCCTTCGAGACATCCTTTTCTGTGGTCTCCAACCTCTGAGGCTCAGAAAGTTACCAACGACCGCTTGGAGCGCTGCGAACCTAAATTATTTAAGGTCCCTAGATGGAAACAAGGTAGCGTCACTCATTGTTCTCGAGCCGTCCTCCTCACTCTCTCGATTACTCCTCTTTTTCTCTGATATCCGCGTCTGTAATTGGTGCATTACTTGCACGTGATCTTGCAAATGGCTGGTGGTGTTATTTATTATTATGCAAAAGGTTCAAAACGAGTACGCATGCGCATATGGCTCCAGCCGGATTCTCGCCGTGACCAAAGACAAAATCGTAGCCAGAACATAAACTGAAGAGGAGGAGCGTTTCGGTGTGCGCTAAGTCGACCAAGATTGTTTCGCCATGCTTGTTCAATGCAACATCTGCGTTTTTCAGCAATGCTGCGTTGCCGTAAACAACAGAAAATGGTTTCGCTCTCTTCAACTTACCTCGTGCTTTCCGATATGAAGCGCACCATGAAGTGCAACTATGAACCATTTCACGCGAATGCTTTCGTGCAACTCCGTCAACGTATGTCGACGCAGATCTGCGAAGCGAGTTCACTTGTCGGTTTTTATTGAAACGCCAGGCGCGCGTCTAATGCGCGTCTAGTGCATGCCAGTTGGTACAAATACATGTGGGTATGCACGTATACAGAACAGCTGTAGGTTGTAATCAACGCACCTTCAGAAACATTTCACTCTTGACCAGTTCCCGCTTGAGCCGAAACGCGCTGCTTCGAGACACCTCACCAGTAGAACTCTCACTTTTCAGGAAGTTCCCATGCAGCCCCGCATCAGAATCACTTGGCATCATGATTGTCCGAATGGGCACATTTAAAAAAAAAAAAACGTCATCGCAGTGCTGCTGGACGAGTGTTCGTACCAGTCTGGTCGTAGTTTTTTTTTTCTCTTGCGTGTGCACAAGCCGGTTGTAATCAATCGTCACAACGTCACGCCCTGTGGCCACTTACAGGATCCAGCAAGAAGCACGTCCACTGTGTCACAGCACGAAAATACTTTGTTAAGTGCGTGTTGCATTTGTCATTGAAGCCTTAACATAACATTTCTGGCATTGCGATTTTCGGCGCAGTGATCTTTTTTGTGCTCTTCACTTCAGGTACTGTTTTCGTGGATTGCTTCACAGCAAAGTAAACTAGTTTGAATGCTTCGCAGCACGTTTGCGAGAACATTGTTTCTTGGCTCAATAAATTGAGTCACCGCTCGCTTTGTTGGGTTTTCTTTGTGCTGCTGTACATGCATTCGAATTCACTGCATGAGTGAGATTTTGTGAAAAGTGCAGCTATGCTCAATATCGTTATCTGTGCCGTTAGAAAATTACTTAAAGTTCTAACAAGCCAATAAAAAAGAAGTGGTGAATCTAGAAAAATGTTTGTTAGCTAAAGCTAGAACTTAATCTTCGAGTAAACGCTTCGATCTCGTTAACGGCTCGCATGACACTTAAAATTGCTTTCTTTTGGCTGCGGCAACTGCTAGTGACTGCTTTTCGCGAAAGAGCGATGTACAGTGTGTATAGGAAAATTAGTGGAAAGGTGGGAAATAAAACGTAGCTAACATTTTCTTTTCTTTTTTCGGTTCATGCCGGAGTCAAGTGCTGAGGCAACTACTGCCGTGTCGCCTAGTGCATGGTATGTTTAGTTGTGCGCGTTTATTGCAGTTTTACTCTGCTACGGCTCTTCTTATATTGTTGCCTATGTTTATTTCTTGTGCGTAATTTGTGATCATGATATGGCAGCTGTATATTAGTGTCTCGCAGTGCAATGAACCTTGTTTTGTGCCTGCGCTCATCAAACATCAACAAAATGGGCATGTGCTCACCAAGAATATTACTTGAAAATAAAAGGTTTCACTCCCCGATGATTTTCATGTTTTAATTAAAATGTGTGCATATACACTAATTGGCATCGTGTGCTTGGCGCTCTAGTGGTGCAGCTTACGCGAAGCTTATCGATGCATGCGAACGACATGTTAAATATATACATATATATATATATATATATATATATATATATATATATATATATATATATATATATATATATATATATATATATATATATATATATATATATATATATATATATATATATATATAGAAGTATGGCCTCAGAGACAAGCACGCACGTGAAAGTGGTCTCGGAGGCCGTATAGTATTCCTAGTAACTACAAAATGGCCTTCGAGACATCCTTTTCTGTGGTCTCCAATCTCTGAGGCTCCGAAAGTTCCCAACGACCATTTGGAGCGCTGCGAACCTAAATCGTTCGCAGAGGCCTATGGGAGTGTACTCTTTACCTTTATATGTTACTCTATGGCTAAACTTTTTCGACTGTTCTTAGCCTCTCGTGCGGTGAAGCCAACGTACCATGGAGCGTTTAACTTGGAAAGTGCGCATATATGGTGCATGGCTGCAAGTTGTGACGTCAGACAAAACTTGAGCCTTATCAGGGGTGATAAGGGGCTAAACTTTTTCGACTGTTTCTGGCTCTTCGTGTGGTCAATCCAACGTACCAGGGGAACTTTAACTCGCAAAGAGCACATAGATGGCACATCGCTTCAATGTGTGACGTCAGACAAAACTTGAGCCTTATCAGGGGTGATAAGGGACTAAACTTTTTCGACTGTTTGTGGCTCTTCGTGCGATGAAGCCAACGTACCAGGGGAGCGTTGAACTTGGAAAGTGCGCATATATGGTGCATCGCTGCAAGGTGTGACGTCAGACAAAACTTGAGCCTTATCGGGGGTGATAAGGGGCTAAACTTTTTCGACTGTTTTTGGCTCTTCGTGCGGTGAAGCTAACGTACCAAGAGAACTTTCAACTCGCAAAGAGTGCATAGATGGCGCATCGCCTCAAGGTGTGGCGTCAGACAAAAGTTGAGCCTTATCATGGGTGACAAGGGGCTAAACCTTTTCGACCGTTTTTTGGCCATTCTTGCGGTGAAGCCGACGTTCCAGGGAAACTTTTAGCTCGGAAAGTGCGCATAGATGGCGCATCATGCAAGGTATGATGTCCGACAAAAGTTGCGCCTAATCGGAGGTGATAAAGGGCTAAACTTTTTCGACTGT